CACACATATATATACAACAGTGAAGCAGACTCAGTCCCAGTGGCGGACATCCTCGTAGCAAAAGTAGCTACATAAGTAGTAGCTACATGTAGTAGTAGCTACGGGCCCCGTACTTTCAAGGGCCCCGCGCTAAATGCTTCCAAGCTATCAATTCCGGTTCAGTGATTCTGCACCTGCTCTATCACTATAGTACTATACTGCCTTCAACTTTTATGAACGACTGGGTGTTTAAGGTTAGCGATTTGTCGTATTATCTGGCTGTATAGCAAATTTAAAAAAATCCAATAACTTGACTATGCAAGTAAAATAATGCGTGTTTTAATATTTGTGTGTTTTTTTTTTAAATTAGGGCCCCTTTATAACGTATGCTACAGGCCCCGCACTAGCTTAATCCGGCACTGCTCAGTCCATATCCTTCCATCTGTCCCGGAATTGTCCGTGGGGTGCCCACAAGGTGCGAACGTTGCCCGTCGACGTCGGATTAACACCGCTCGCGTTTTTTGTTGCGTGAACACGGGGGGCTTAACGCGTCGCTGCAAAAGGGCATGCGCGCGCCAAGGAAAACGAACCCACAGCCCTCCCACAAAGCGTGACTTCACGTGACCTTTGCACTTTCACGGGAGTAGCCCTGGAGACGGCGATCTCGCACTGGGAACGCTCTCGTAACAGATGATTGTTGCTCCCCTTTTGTCGCCACTAGTAATTAAGCGCTATTTAAGGGCCAGTGTCGCGGGGGGCGGGGGACAAATCGGGTCTGAATGGATCCAAATTCCAAAGAATCATCGGACACTGACACACTGCCCCTTCCGCTTTGATGGAGTGTGGGCTAATGAAATTCTAACCATTGGTGCCGCTAGAGGAATGCCAGACAGGTTGAAAAACAAGTCCGACTCTGAAACGGCTACCGCACGTGGGCCAATGCTCAAGCAGCAAGAACGGGACACGTGGAGACTGAATACACTCACTGATGATGCGTCAGCACTTTTGCAATTAATCTTGATTTGAAGCTTTCGTTACTGCAGGAATCCATACTCTTTCGTTCTTTCGGTAAAGTCACGTAGGTAGAACATAAAATAAATCACGCCGTTTTGATCGCAACATAAGCGGTCGTCCTCAGGCTGGAAAAAATATAATCCAGCAGTGGAACTGACTGCTGAACCCGCCAGCAAAAATATAATCCAGCAGTAAAACTGCTGAACCAGCCAGCAAAAATATAATCCAGCAGTAGAACTGCTGAACCAGTCAGCAAAAATATAATCCAGCAGTGGAACTGACTGCTGAACCCGCCAGCAAAAATATAATCCAGCAGTAAAACTGCTGAACCAGCCAGCAAAAATATAATCCAGCAGTAGAACTGCTGAACCAGCCAGCAAAAATATAATCCAGCAGTTGAACTGCTGAACCAGCCAGCAAAAAATATAATCCAGTAGTTCCACTGGCCTTGACTTAAAGCACTAAACTTGCCACTCTTATTTAATACAATTTTGAACGGAGTACATACAAAACAATTGCAAAAGTGTACTCTTTGGTTCTTTCGGTAAAGTCACGTAGGTAGAAAATAAAATAAATCACGACGTTTCGATCGCAACATAAGCGGTCCTCCTCAGGCTGGAAAAAATATAATCCAGCAGTAGAACTGACTGCTGAACCAGCTAGCAAAAATATAATCCAGCAGTAGTTCTACTAGTAGTTCTACTGCTGGATTATATACTAGTAGTTCTACTGCTGGATTATATTTTTGCTGGCTGGTTCAGCAGTTCTACTGCTGGATTATATTTTTGCTGGCTGGTTCAGCAGTTCTACTGCTGGATTATATTTTTGCTGGCTGGTTCAGCAGTTCTACTGCTGGATTATATTTTTGCTGGCGGGTTCAGCAGATTTACTGCTGGATTATATTTTTTGCTGGCTGGTTCAGCAGTCAGTTCCACTGCTGGATTATATTTTTTCCAGCCTGAGGACGACCGCTTGTGTTGCGATCGAAACGTCGTGATTTATTTTATTTTATACCTACGTGACTTTACCGAAAGAACCAAAGAGTACACTTTTGCAATTGTTTTGTATGTACTCCGTTCAAAATTGTATTAAATAAGAGTGGCAAGTTTAGTGCTTTAAGTCAAGGCCACAATTATATGTGGTCCTTATCATGAAGGATTGTCGGCAACCAGTGTATATGGTTGTAGTATGACAATTTATATATTCAACTGATTACTAATTATAGCTTCAAGATGACAGTATCCATTAATCAAGTCAGTTTGCAAGATTGATTTAAGATAATAGCAATATACTCATCGTATGAAACTTAAAATATATGTTAAAGTTTATGTTGTTCAACCAGGTGACACCTCAAGAGAACAGACACGTCTAATTGCAAGAGTGACCTGGGTCATCAAAATGACAAAACGAAAACAAATAAAATAAAGCAGACCAATTAAGCTAATATAAAGCAGAACAATGCTTCAATGTAGCCCGATGCATTTGAAGCTGTGACCTGGTAGTGTTGAGGGATGATCTTAATATGTTTTTGGTCCATGATTGCGTAATGACAGGCAAGGCGAATGCTGTTTAAATAACACATTGAACAAGAAGCAAATGTTCTGATGCACTTAACATTTTATTGGCTGGATCATTTGCTTCGCGTATTGCTTATATTGTTGCAACATCAATAAATATAGCTGTTACTGCAATATGTAACACGGAAAACAAACACCTACATTTATTTAATTTTGGAGACTATCCCTCTCTTCTGGTAGCGCGCGCTTGCTCAATCTTGTTTATGGAGTCTATTTTTGTATTGCTACTTTTACTAGAGGCTGCTCTTAAACGAAGCTCTATTAACTCTAAACCGACTCAGCTTTTGGTCTCAACGTGCACAAACTTTCAAGCAGTGCATGGTCAGCGGCTAATCCATAGTGGGCCTCGCATGCCAGCTTGCACTGATGTGTTTGTAAATGTTTAATGTTTACCTCTTATGCTGAATGGCTTAATCGATTATATGATGGCACAAGGCCCCTTCAGCGGTTGACAGCATCCAGACACACACTCAAGGTAATAGCGAGAAGCCAACAAAGTAATAAAGCAAGCATTGTTAAGTTTAAATGTTAATGTTAAGTTAAAATGGGTATTAAAATAAACTTGGTTTTATGTCTAAGAGGCTTTTGAAGTCTTGACAATTAAATCCACTGTAATTATGGAATAGAGATGAATGCAATAACTGGTACAACTCAAAATAAAGGAAATGGCTATCAGACAAGCTTAACTTAAAACCAGCAGGACCCATAATGAGGGTATGTTTAATACATCAGGAGCTTAAGGTTTATCCCACATATATGCTTAAAATTCTGCAAAATTTCATAATGGTTAAATAACTTTTCTTAAATTACCCATGAATTGTATAATTGTTGGAAAAATGAACCACCATTGAATTGGATCATTTTGGGGTCAAAGCGTTTTTCTGCATTGCTGTTCCTGGCAGATGGGAGGCTATTCCTGAGCTGCTACAGTAATTGTGGTCAATTTGCAGACTTCCAGTGTCAGGATTTTCAACCACAAAGAGCTTATTTTGGTCCAAGCAGAACCCTTTATAACATTACACACATCGAGAAGCATGTTTGACATTGATTTAATTGAACACACACACAGGGGTTATTTAAGGGATAGTCGATGCACATTCCCAACTTAATGCACTGGACTTGAGCTTTACAGGCTAAACATTTGATTTGATCCTGCAAAAAAAAAATCACGTTTTTAATTTTAATCCGTGGCTTATGTAACACTCTTACTGCAGAGGTACTTTACTTCATTGGTTGCCATTTTACAAACAACTTAAATTATTTGGTACAACTGTCAAACAGAGGAATGAGTTTGCACCGGATCATCTTTCGTTTTAATTCAAGGTGAACAGTCGAGTAACGGTGGTATGCCTGCAGGTTGTCGAGTCGATGAAGCAAAGCAGTTTTGAAATATACCTTTCGCCCATGTATGTAGGGGATTTTAGGTAAAAAAAAAACACAAAAAGGATAAAAAAAAAAGTGCAAGAGCTTACAGAAATATGGGACTGTAAGACGAGGTCAGCGTCTGCCGTCCGATGATGCCAAGACAATCTGGCTGCAGCTAGTGATAAAGGCGGGACCAGAGTTTTCATTTTTCTCATTCCACGTGGCTTAGAGCCGGCTGTGGTTCCCAGCACGTAGAAGCCCTGGTCGAAGACGGGTGCTCGTCGGCGTGAGGGCGAGCAGGTGTGAGCACACATCCATCAGCAGCCTGCACGGTGTCGCGCCGCACACGTACGTCCGCGGTGGGAATGCCCCCATCCCACCGGGCGAGGAATTTACACTGTCACCGCATTTCAGCACCTAACCCTTGCGCTGCCAAGGAAGCATCACATGTATCATATTCGATTGCAAGTTTTGTACAAAAAAAAAAGTGTAGGAATTAACGTTGCGTTCTCAATGAAAGAAAAACAAGTTTTATTTTATGAGCAAGAGTGGCTTATCACTTCTTGGGGAGATTTGTATGAGAGTATAATATTCACGAAATTGAGCTACTTTGAGGAAAGAAAAGACATTTTCAATGGCTGTTGGAACCAACCCTCCATGTGCCCTACATCAACGCTAATTGCGAATGGCAAGCCATCTGCTCGGTATTAAATGAGTTGATTATCATGCACCAAAAATCTAGCAAGAGCTAATAAATAATAAAGTGTGTCCTTTGATCTCATTGAGGGATTTTAGGTGCCACTCTTTTCGCTGGTATGAGTTAGAGATCGGCTTTAGTAATAGTTTAACATATTTAATCTTACAGGATATTTCAGATATCCAAGTTTAAAACATATTTGTGTTTTAATAGTAAACAATTCATATGGGACAATACATGGAAAGAGTGGTTTTTCAATGTCCTTCTCAGAAATACTTAACAATGGGTCGTCATTTTATGATAGAATGTATGTTGAGCTTCTTTTCAAGGTCAATACAACCACGAGAAGATTGACAAAATTTCTCAAATGGCTGAACATTTTTTATTTTTACAACTTTCTTGGTACAAACGAAAACTTATGAAATGTGCAAAATATTAAATTGTTCAAAATTACATTTAACTGAAGCAAGTCCTCTCTTCCAAATGCCACTCCTTGCTATTTATTACATTATATAACTGTTGCTTTTTTAAACAGCTACAGAAAATATCACTTCTCTGTTGCAAAGTGGTTTATTATAAATATGAAATAAGCATCTAAATATTACGTTGTTTTTTGGAAAGTCGAGAAATATAAAAACTAGATTGATACGCATCACTCTACATGTCACTGATTATCATACTGACATTGCCATACATTTTAACTAACACAACTCCATGGTTAAATCTTGACTTAAAGCTTTCGTGACTGCAGGAATTCATATTATTTGGGTCTTTCAGTATCGAAAGACCCAAAGAATATGAACTCCATGGTTGTTATCTGAAAACATCATGATGTTGTAAATGTTGTCATTTTATCATTAACTTTTTTTTTTAAAGCAGATGACAAACAATAGAACCCACTCCAAATTAACAATGTCCAAAGACACAATGTTCTCTGTATAATGCCACTTGCTTGGGTTTTGACCTGTCCAACCTTGGATTGAGGGGAGTGCATTACCTTTGATTTGAGCCTACTGTACAACAGTGATGATAATGCATTATTGATGATGATGCATTTAAGCAGCCTGTGTGGCATGTAAAATATGACTTAAATGGAAGAAGCGTGTCTCCAACTCATAACTTAAAGAAGATGTGTTGCTACAAAGTAAAGAATGCATGACTTGGCTCAGACAAATGTGAACCCATCCAATTCTAAACAGCTGTGGGAATATGCCTCAGAAAGATTCAGTATAATATATTGTTTCTAGAATTTTGCTATAAATACAGCCCACAATGGACAATTTGTGTATGTTGCGACTACTCTTTAGCATAATGAGTTTTTTTTAAATGAAAATGTACTGTCACACAATTGAAAGATGGTTGATATTTTTATTTGATCAAAGAAATCTGTTACAAAGTATTAGGAATAATTCATTTGGAATGATTGCATGTGTAGATATTGTGTTTCCCGTAAGAAAAACTGTAATACTAAGAAAGAAGGACGTTTCCTCACTTCACTTTTTGGGTGTGACAATTCCTTCAAGCTGCGTCTGAAAAAAACCAAAACAAAAAACAATTCAGCCTTGCTATATACTGGTTTACATGACATTATAATAGCATTTATGTGTCTGATTTTGATTTAGATCATAGAGTAAAAAATATAGTTGATCAAAAAAATGTTGGTAATAAAAAGAAATAAAGTATTACATTTCTGTGCCTCTGAGAATTATAACTAACTATAGTAATTGCTCCCAAAAGGTATCAAACATGCACTGTTAAACAATTTGGATGTGACTTTACTTAATGTTAAGGAATGTATTTTCCATGTAAAGGCCTTACTACCAATAAGGCAATGCAATGATGCCTGTGCAATAAATGTTCAGCACTGAGTTTGCATCAAGAAATCCGCCATCTGGCATTACAATCTGGGAATGAGTGAAAGAACATGTAACAAGAGTAATCGGTATAACGTAGTTTGATAATTCCAGGAAGCATGGCAATTCAATTATTAATTTCTATTGTAATGTCTAATTTTAGATTTCCTTGCACATTGACTAATGAACATTACAAGCATTTGGTGGAGGGAAAGCTTATTATATTTGTAACATTACACTTTTTCATCTATTTCATGTGAGGAAAATAGAGGAACTGTAGTTCTGCCATAAAATTAGGGAGTATTTAAATTGGTTATGTAATGTATAAACATTACAAATGTAATCAAGTATACCGATATATGAACATATATTTATGCTTGCATGAAGGTGCCTAGAGTAACACCCTTTTGTCTCACGCATTTATTTATATGGCCTGTATTGATTGTCTCTGTATTGCGTATGTCTGATAAGTTGTTGGCACGATTTGTTGCAAGCCTATGGAGGTTGGTGTTAGTGTAGCTAAGATGGCTCTGTAGCAGCGATTGCGTCATTGTACGTATGCACGTATGTATGGTGAACCTCTTTCGCACCGTACGTAGCCAACCGTGCTAATTGGAGGTGCTTCATAACCATGGGCGGAGCTTCATGACCGTGGCCTGGCTGGGTGTTGTAGTGTGTCCTGCGCGGTACCTTGAGCTGCTGGTTCGTGCGCTTGAGGAACTGAATTTCCTCCGCATGCTTCTTCTCGTCCACCTGCCGTCGCTCAGCCTCGCGCTTCTCGATTGCCTCACACTTGGCCTTCTGCTCATTCACGGCGCGTTCCAGTTCGCGCTTTTCCTCCTCTAGCTCGGCGATCTGTGCACATGATAGGCAGCAACGGCCAGTGTCTTCGCCGGCCAAGCACTAACACACCCATTTTCATGGGCACTGCACGGTCTGCAGGTCACGGCGTGAAACCACTGTGGGTGTCGTTGGTGTCTAGACACCACCAATATTTAGAGATATGGATAAAAGACACATGTAAAATGTTGGACAACAATCATGGTATGTTTAAGTTCACACTTCTCGCCCTACAACCAGCTGGCAAATGTATGTATGTTCAATTTCTTTCACAAAATAAGTAGCCAACTGTGCTAATCGGGGGTGTAGGGGAAGGACAACAATCTGAACACAAAAAGCAGTTATCAAGAAAAGAGTTTTCCGTCTTGATTTAAGAGTCCATAGCTCCCGTGGCTTCCGAATATCTGAAGAAAGAGCATTCCAGACGGCCGCAGAAGTGTATCTGAAAGCGCGCGATGTGGTGACCGTCTTTGTTCACCCATAAATGTAAATTCCCATTTCCTTAGAACAGTTTTTTTTTGTGTTGAGTTTGTTGTCCTTCCCCCGCACCTCCGATTAGCACGGTTGCTTATGTACAGTGCGAAAGAAGTTCAACATACATTGGACAACAATCAGGGTATTTTGAGTTCACATTTTGTTCTCCCTACAACCAGGTGAAAGTAATGCTGATTATGCTGAGGATGGAACGTTAAAATACAAAGCAGCGCATGGATAATCGGCTCAGTACTGAGTCAGTAATTCAGCAGATAGCCATATCCTTGTTAATCAATTGGCCGTGTACACTGGGTGCGTATCACTGAACGTGCATATGATTAAAAGCAGGTGTCAAAATCCATAAACAGGTGTTTTCCTATTCAGCGACATTTAATGCCACAAATGTTTTTTGGCACAAATTATTCTTGAATCATGCAAATTGAGGCGATTTGCAATGCTGGGTTAGAGTTTCAGTGATTTCTTTATTACGGTGGTATATAGCATGGAGAGAGATTAGCTTGTTACATACATGTGGTCTCTAACGCAGGAAATTAAGGTTGGTATTATATACCATTTGTGTGCAAATCAGAGCCTGATGGGTATTTACTTTATACCGCTCTTCAACATGCAGTAAGTTTAGATGGGTAGATATTATATGCAGCTGGTGCCTATTGTTAAAGTACTGAAATGTGGATTTGCTGCTTTATTAATATTTTCTCCACTGTAGATTGTAATGCAATGCAGTGCTACCTACCTTCTTTTCCATGTCGGCTTTGCCCTGCTCAGCCTGCAATGCTTTGCGCATGCCAAATGCCACGCTGCTCTCGTACAGTGTCTGGAAGGCAGCGATGGTCATACGAATCTCGTCCCGCACCCGTAATAGCAGTAGCCCCCTCTCTGCACAGTTAATGGTCACTTGCCGGATCAGCTCATCTGGGGACGGAGCAAAAACACGCATTGCGGTGTGCACAGCATTCACATTCCAGTGTTAGGTCACCTGTTTTGCAGTGTGTTTTCTGACCCCGACACACATTTTTAACCCCCCCTAAACACATTGCATACTGTAAATTCCCATCAAAAGGACAAAGAAAAGACACTACAAGAAACCCATTTGCTTCATTCACATGAGCTCGGCCACTGATCAAGCTGTTAAATATATACCTGGGCATAAGCTGTGGAACAAAAATGCCATTTAAGTACAGCAGGGCTTTTCAATTACTTAAGTAACCGATTATTCTACCGATTATCAGTTTGATTGTTCGACTAATCGGATAACACAAACATAGTTGGGGAAACAAGCCTCGCTTCCGTTCCCACGTATGCCGCTCGACAGGAACTTGGAGGTGACCCGCATGGCTTGAGAACGTCACCAGCAGCATCAGTTGCACCTCGTGGTTTCTAGGGGGTTTCCTACCTTCAGGAAGCAAGATGTGTGTAGGCAGCCACCATTTTTATAGGGCCCAGAGTAATCGATATCAAAAGTAGTCGATAATAACTTTAATCGCATAATTAATTTCATTGACTAATCACCCCAAATCTACTCTTAAAAAGTATATATGTGCTTGTGTGGTGGAGCTTCTGCGTGAGATTATCTAAGCTACAAGGTTGAGTACTGCAATGAATTGAGATGTACATTTTTTGGGGTGATGAGGTGTGAAAATGAAAGGAGGATGAACATGAAATGAGTAATGCAGTAAATAGGCATAATAGTATGGATAAGTAAATTGGATTGAAACACATAGTTAATATTCATACAATGACATCAATACATTATACAGGAATATTTGGATAGGTTAAGCAGGAATAGGATATCAAAATATATAATGAGGCAAGGGGTTGGACAGAGAAATGTAATATTAAAGACAACATTTTAACAGGATCGTAGATACATATTCTTGGTTCTTTCGGTAAAGTCACGTTGAAGGGAAAAAATAAAATAAAATATATATAACACAATAAAATTCTCACGACGTTTCGACTGTAACACAAACAGTCATCATCAGGTGTGAAAAAACCAACGGCAAGAAGCATTTGAAAGAAGTGGATATGGAAGAAAATAACAGGCAATTGAGTAGATAACAAATGGGTGCCTGATTATTCCAGATAAGTTAATAATTAAGGATGTGAGGAGCAAGGTGTCAATGTAGGAGATATAAAAACAAAGTTAGGGCATCCATAATAAAGAATATTTACGTGATCTAACCCAAAAAAACTCTATTATGGATGATATTGGTCACAAAAGCCTACGTGTTAAACTGACAGGGCACTCAATTGCCTATGGAAAGATGAGTGCTTTGCGCTGTAGGATATTTCATAATGACATTGCAGGAAGTGAGAGAATGCAAGAAATGGTAATGTGGAGAATGATTAATGCCAAACAGCACGCATGAAGGATGCGCCTAAGGGAGGGTTAAGGAGTTACGTGATGGAGGCATCCGTTTGGCACATGATCAGCTTGAGATGATGATAGAGTTGGGGGAGAAGTTGTCCTGTAGGTCGGGGCGTGAACTAGAGCCAGGAGATTCTCACGATTCTTCACTATTCCATCATTGGAATCAAATATTATTCTGAGCAGGAATCAAATACGATTTGTGGGATTGGCAGGAATATGGAATTGTGGGGTTTCCAAGGCTGTGTGGAGCCAGGAATGTCATGTAAACAAAAAGGCAGGGCCCATGATAGGACCTGGATGGCCTGAATGCCCATTGCTGAGGTTATTGTTTAGCAGGCTCTGCCAAAGCTTGAGACGCTCACTTGCAGCGCACACAATGTACAGTGCAGGAAAGGCATACTGCTGCTAAGTGTTTAACTATGTGGTTGATGTGAATGATCTGAATTGTAATGTTGAGGTGCCTTATAGAGCTTTCGAGGATCCTATTGTCAGTATCTGAAGATGTTCTGTACTAGAAAAATCTGTAGACTTATGACTGCGATGAATATCCAAAGTAAATGTTCTGTCCACGTCATTCTTACTGGTCAGGATTTGTCAGCAAATGATCTTGATTATGTCAAATGGCAAATACCTCATATGCATGCCAGCCTGTTTTTTGTGTCAAGAACGCTAACTTTTAGAGATTAATGGTCACTGAGAATGCATGACTAATGGCCATGAGATCCTAGGTATTGATGGATCTAGTGTAATACAACTGGTAAATTAAATCTCTAAAAAAGAATTTAATAACTTGTGAAAATAAATCCTGTATTTAGAATAGAGAAAAACGTTGTTTAAAATGTGTGCTGCATCAATGTAATAAATATTATGTATTTAAATAACTGAAGACATTCAGACAATTAACTGCATTAACACTGAATAGAAACATCTGATTAGTTGTAATATTTATGAAAAGTTATGAAATAATATAAGGAAGTTCAATTTCACGTCATCTCAGCTCATTAATTTCCAATGTGAAATGCACAGTAAGAATGCACCGTATTGTGCTTTGGAAACAAAATGAAGTGATCATGTATCATTCAAGCATTTTGACTGATATTAGTCATTATAAAGTCATACAATAGCAGCGTATCACAATGTCCCTGGAGCAGAATGATTATAATCCAGACAGCCGAGCTTGCGCTTTGATCAATCTTTGCTGCAGCAGGCCCTCGAGTAATTACACCTTCGCACGGGAGCCCAAATTAGCCTAAACCTTTAAACCCCGTGGTTCTCATAAACGGCCCAGAGGGCCCTGAGCCAGAGGAGGCCAACCAGGGTGGATGTCCCCCGGAGGAAAACCAGGGGCGGAAGGTTCAGGGTTCTCCGATTTTCAGGCGATTTCCCCAGACTTAGCCTTGACAGATGTTGTGCCATGTGGAAGCACAAGGCAATGTTTCTGATTGTTAGGACTGCTATTTCGTGTGGTTGAAAACACAGCAATGAAATGTGTGATCACAAATTACCTGATACAAAACTCACTGTGTATAATTATTAACCGTTATGCAGTGGCATATTGATAGCCCTATTGTTTAAATGCATTGCATGGTGGCCATATAATGAAGGCTATATTACATGCTAACGTGTGCATTACTGTTTGTGTGTTTATCCAGGTTAAACTGAAGTGTATATCACTTTTGTGTGTAATAAATTGCATATATGGATGCTCATATATACCGAGTAACACATGACATACCATAGTTATTCTCCCTTGGAAGAGTAAACCTAAAATGTAACTAGAAAAATAATATACATAAAGTACATTTTATTCAAAACATTAATTTAAAGTTGATTTGAAGCTTTCGTGACTGCAGGAATCCATACTCTTTGGTTCTTTCGGTAAAGTCACGTAGGTATAAAATAAGTTTAACACGTAGGCTTTCGCGACCAATATTATTCATAACAAAGGTTTTTGGGTTAGACCGCGTTATTTATAAATGTGTCGTAACCCTCCACCACCCGACACGGCCAATCAGCAAAATAAAGTGTCACGTTGACAAAAGACAATTAGGTCACTACTTTAGCCCACCGGTGTGTTGAAGAGTGAATCCACAACAGTGTATATCACTTTTGTGTGTAATAAATTGCACAACAGTGGATTCACTCTTCAACACACCGGTGGGCTAAAGTAGTGAACTAATTGTCTTTTGTCAACGTGACACCTAATTTTGCTGATTGGCCGTGTCGGGTGGTGGAGGGTTACGACACATTGAGAAATAATGCGATCTAACCCAAAAACCTTTATTATGAAGGTATAAAATAAAATAAATCACGACGTTTCAGGCACAACGCAAGCGTCCGTCATCAGGTGACGGACGCTTGTGTTGCGCCCGAAACGTCGTGATTTATTTTATTTTATACCTACGTGACTTTACCGAAAGAACCAAAGAGTATTAATTAAAAGATAAATATTTTGCTGTTGTTACAACGATGTCAGAACTCAGCAATAAAAAAAGCACGTCATATTTACATGTTAAACTATGGTGTCTGGTTCAAAGACCCATAATAAGTTTATTTTCTGAACAAAGGAGGCAATAGAAATTGAAGGGCTTTGAAAACAAGATACACATCAGGTGAACTAAAATGAATGAGCCAATAGTTGATTCATACTGTATTTTAGGTTGTATGCAAGAAAACTGCATAGGCAGCTTCCAAGCTCCATACCCTCTCATTAATCAGCTTAAGACACATCTGTTCTGATGAGCAAACAAGGAACTCTAAACCTGGCTCTGTGCCTCCGAGTCATGATCAAATCTTAATTTGTGCACTTTGCTAAATATGTGCGTGTTACAGTTTTTTTTATTATTATTATTATCATAAAATTGCCCTTGAAATCACTGCATGTGTTCTTTAAAATATATGTGGAATCATCGATGAGCAAGGAATGCAGCAAATCTCTGATAATGCATTGGAGTGAAAGGAATTTAAAAAATGACCTAAATGAGAGTGTTTTACTTCCCAAGTTAACCTGAGGCAATATCACCCTGCTTGCATGGAGCTGTGCTGGTGGTACTGTGATTATGTGTGTGCTATGCAATTGGAGAAGAACGAGTGCAGGCTATCTGTGGTGCAATCGCAGGCCACCGTTGAGCTTGAGAGTTCTCAGGAGGCTGAATCCATGCTAGACCCATCTGCATGAACTTGCATCGAGCAGGTTTAAAAATATTTAGTTAAAAATCTGCATGTGCAACGAGCCTAATTTCCTGTGAGGCACAACCTCAGTTGGAATGTTACCTTTGGTTAGTTGTTTTTTTGTAACTCTAAACCTCATGTTTAGAAGATTTACGAGATACACATGGATACATACATTTGTAGATGGAGGGATGGAGAAAGTATGGGAAGGAAATTAACTTGTTTGGCATAAACCTATATATCAGGGGTATACACTTGCTTGGGATCAGCTTGTAGCTGACACCTGCATAAGCTTCAAAAGTCCACATTTGCCCATGGTATCTTGCTTGGTCTACCTCTGTGTGTAATTATTAAAGTTTGTTTAACTTTTGTTCCTTCCTGAGAATTCTCATGAATACGTAAAAGTACATAATGGCACAGCTAATGTATACAAGGCTAGAATTCATGCCACATGTACTAATGTAGCTACCATATGTCCGTCCAAGTTAAAACACCTTTTTTCTCTTTTCCGTCACAATGGAAAAGAATAGTGATTGTTGACAGCAAGCCCTCAAACTTCCCCACACTTAAAAAAAGGGATGTTAATAATTGTTTGATTTTTTTCCCGTTTAAATATCACCCATTACAGCATTCACAGATGGCTGTTTTAAGGTTTGCATTGTGTAAACTCGTAACATACTTTTCAGATCAATTTGTTTGAAATTAGTCTTGGTTTAAGCAGCACATTATTCATAAGTCTGCCACTTTCGCTCTGTCATGTCATCCATCACATACGTACATTGAAAAACAAACATAGGTTGGACCATAGGTTACACATTAGGAATGCTCGCATGAATATTTTGGAGCTGAACTGTCAAAAGAATATCAGCTCACCAATTGTTTACAGAAGACATTCTGAAGACACGTGGAGCCAGGAAAAACATCCATTAAGCATATGTGTTGGTTGATTTGCTGATATCAGTTACATTATCTGTGTATTATCCTAGGAAAGCGTTTATGAAGCAGTTATTTTATTGAGATCTTAAAACGTTCAGCCAAGTGACTCAACTCAAAATTTATTCAGAGGTAAAGTTCAGTGCTTATATTATTTGTATTTTCAACTGTAATATTTATATAATGAAATACGAAAATGACATCATTTATTCATGCACTGCATAATATTTTAATGGCTGTTTTAGTGCAGCTCAACTCAATGTCATGCAAGTGTACGTGATTGATGTTTGGGAAACCTATTTTTGGAATGACTGCACAAGATAGGTAGGAAAACAACAAATTTCCCATCAAAGCACTTAAGGAACTAATTATGTGACCACTGTTCCTCGTCTGAGAATAAGTATTTAATGATGGGCATTTGGCCTGTGTTGGGCCAAGTTCCATGGTGCAAGGCTTGCACTTAGAGGCGACTCAGTTCACCACGGTTTGCAACCAAACAAGGCAAAAGAAAGTACAATGTCTCAACAGATGGGGTGGCTGGTACCCGACTGATGTTTTGATTATTATAGTAAGGATTAAGGCTTTTGGTTTAGAGTAGTTACAGAATTTTCTGTGCGTTCCATAGCACTTCATGAGGTCCTGGATAGGGTCAAGCCCGGTTGTAGATTTCTACGTTTAGGTTAATGGAGAACCAAGTTGTTGCCATTAGTTCGAAGGCATTATATAGCCTGTGGCCGATCATACACTTAAACTGAAACATGAGTTAATGCACAAAGTGGGGAGAATTTTGTTTTTTTAACTCATTTTAGCATGCACTCTGAAGTTGTCTTAGGTGAGAGGCTGGCATGTAATACAGAGTTTAATAAGCATACCGAAACACTGCGAGTAGAGCTCTCGGCGGACAGGGCAAATGCCGGTCTCGCGTGCTTGTCGCTGCTGCAAGCGGACATCCAGCTGCTCCTGAAGTTTTACCACGTCGAGGCGGGTGGCTGGCGTGCTTGACACCTGCTGTACCCACAGCTGTCCATCCTCCGTGATCTCCCTGCACCAGTAGCCCAGCAGCAACCAATTAAGCCAGAGCTTTCCAAATCTAAGTCTTGTGTACTACATTCTACGACACTCCCTTACCTCAGGGTGCAACTTTCTACTTTTAAGTATCCGTGTCTTTCACTTGTCAATGAGATGTGATTTTCATCCACCAACAGTTTGGTAAACACAAAATGTTGGGTATACGGGATTTCAGCACCTGTAGTTTGGAAACATGTTAACTTGAATGAACTGTAATGAATGAGACTTGTACAGAAAAGCCTTACCCAACAAAAGAAGCAATTTTCGGCTGTCTACATTGCTTAACAGTTGATAAAATAATGGAGTCCACGTGTAACACGTTTTTTTCTAATATCTACAGTCCTCACACACATTTTCTAAGTGCAAACAGCTGAAACAGATATACATACAGTAACAATAACATTTACGTGACTTTTGCTTGACTTAAATTTGCATTATTTAACACTATTTTCAATACTAAAGCACTTTGCATTGTGCACTTACATATTGTGACATTCCAATGTTTACTGTCTCGTTTCATATTTTACCACGATATCAATTATCACAATCAATCAAAGCTACTTTGACGAAGACTGATAACCTTTAAACGACTTAATATGGTATAGTGAACTAATAAGTTATCAATTGGCTTTGAATATTGAAGAAAACACCTTGGAGGAAGGATTGCATTCAATATTTCATCAGTCTGGTCTCTGCTTGAGTCCGCAGCAGGAGATTTTCCCTTGGGTGGGCTTGGAACGGGTCCGGTATTTATTGGTTGCTGTGGATTGACTTTATTCGGATGAGCCTTGTGAAAAAAAAAACCCAACAAAAATCAATAAAAGGCTGCCATTTGAAATTAATGCTTACAAAACATATGTCAGATATGTGTCGATGGAAATATTGACTATAATATTCCTACAACATTGATAATGATCAAAAGCTAACTTCCCTAGGGAGGCATTGGGTCTACAATTACAGTAAATAATTAGGTCTGTATTTGCGTCCTTATACATCACACGTAAAAACAAAATCCAATTAGAGTAAATGCATCAGTGTACGGGTAAAAACACGCTTAAATTATAATACGTAAATGCTTGACAGTGATAATTGATCAATATATGTGCAATACTTTGCAATGTTACATTGGCATGTACACACTCATTTAGTTCATAGTTCATAGTTCCATTTATTTGGTATAGCCCTGTGATTATCAGGTAAAGAGCATGTTATTTGGCTGATGCAGGAAAGCAGAGACAAACACTATCAATGCCATTAACCCAGGATTTCCCAACTTTTGTTACTGAAAAAGGACCACAGTATTTTGAGGACCTTGAAAGTTCATTTTTATCATAAAACTTTATTTTATCAACTAAAAGTTACACAGTTATTCACGTATGTTTCTTTCGACATTTCTCTTTGTGTATATTGCTATCTGCATCTCTTTCTGTATGCAAAGTCCCATCACAAGGGAGAAACACAAAACAAATAGACAAAAAATGTTTATTTAAAAACTAAATTTCCCTGTACAAGAATACCGTTAAACCGTATGGGTTGTTTTCAAACGTCGCCGCTCAAAACAGCAAGGCGAGGGCCGAAAAAGCACTTAATAACAGTGCACACATCTTGTAAACAAAACGTATGTTTCGTGTAAAAAAAATCCCACAAATATCGCGTAGTAATCAAACTTGATAACTTGAAGCGCTCCGTTTCTTAGGGTTCCTCGCTCTTACCCTCGGCGTCTTTTTCTCGGTGTTTCTCGACACCAGCAGCGGGTTGTCGTATTTGACGAGTGAGTCTGCCGGAGGAATCATTCTTTCGTCCGTTCTCGTTCTTGTTCTCCTTACCAATAAAATTAAATTTAAAAAAAACTGCGTAATGTCCTCAAGTTGCCGTGTGCTCTCTCACTCCGCCCGGAGTCGCGGCCTATGCGTGGGCGACGCGTCGTTGCCATGGAGACGTTGCTAGGTGACGTCACGGCGGCGACCGTGGTGCGCGGTGGCTGCCGGGAACGGCGCGCGTCGGTTTAAATGGTCGCCCATCCCGCCAGAGTCCACCATCGGGAAGGATCCGGGGCAATCGACGATGAAGCAATCCACGGTATGAGAATGCGGACGGTGGATTGCTTCGCAAGAAAGTTGCTTTACGTGTTTCATTGACGAGGTCTCGGCGAACATGGTTTGGCCGCGAGCACGTGTCCGCCGTTTGGGGCCGTCCATAAATGACGTCACGCACCTGGGTAGGGGGGGGGGTCAGACATTTGTGACGAGGGGGGGGGGGATTTTGATTTAAAGCTTTCGTGACTGCAAGGATTCTTATTCTTGGTTCTTTCGGTAAAGTCACTACGTAGAAGAGAAACAATAAAATAATACAAATATAAAATAATACAATTCTCACGACGTTTCGATTGCAACACCAAGCCATCATCAGGTGCGATGCGACGTCACATTTTCCTGCTGTGGTTTGCACACCTGATGATGATTGCTTGTGTTGCAGTCGAAACGTCGTGAGAATTGTATTGTTTTATATTTGTATTATTTTATTATTTCCCTTCTACGTGGTGACTACCGAAAGAACCAAGAAATGTGACGTCACATCAAAATGCGCAACTTTAAATAAATATAGACAACACGTTCTACTTAATTAAATAGACTTTTAAATAAATGTTTTCTCCTACAACATCAGAGTGCAGCGCCACATTAAATACGCACTACAATGACAATAGTTTAAAGCGATTTGAAGCATGTTCTGTTTTCAAAATGGAAATATGGTTTTGGTGGGGGTGGGGCAGAGCTTTGTGACGTCATATTTGAGGCGGGGGGGGGTCTGACTTTTTGTGACGCCGTGTGACGAGGGAGGGGGGGGGATCAAAAATCATCCAAAATCGCGTGACGTCATTTATGGGCGGCCCCTTTGTATCCAGCCGATGGCGTGGTTGTTCCCGCGGGTGTGTTTTGACCGTAGCGTCGTAGTCGTTGAAGAGTCCGTGGCGTCGTTCTCGAGAGGAGGCCACTGTGTGTTGGGAGTCATGGTCCAAATTTGCCGAGTTTGAAAAATTACAATATAGCAATCATCTCCCCCCTCCCCTACTCTAACTGTATACACTTGGCAAGACCCTCATGAAAAAACTCATGACCCTCTGGTGTTTTTAGGCTAAACAAGCACGATTTTAAAAAGAAAAGCACGATTAAGTTCATACTTTGCCATTATTATTATTAGTGTACAAGTGATCTCCTGCTCACTTGAGCATTCAGGTGATGCTCATTTTCGTGTTAACAGCTGAGCTCGCGGTGGAAACTCCCCATGCCTATGAACAAGGACGGGTCTATCCAAAGGACAAAGAGGCCGTCCATAAATGACGTCACGCACCTAGGGGGGGGTGAGGGGGGGTCAGACATTTGTGACGATGTGTGACGAGGGAGGGAGGGGGGGTTTGAGAAATGTGACATCACATCAAAATGCGCAACTTTAAATTAAAATATAATTGTTACAACAACACTAATTTTGATTCATTTTCGTTATTAACTAATTGATTATTTAAATTTACTAAGGTCATATTTTATTTATTCCATGAAGGAGCATTTTGCTTCTCCATGGGAGAATGGAGAAGCATAAATGTAGTTATTCAACATTTAGATTTTAATGATTCTACCAGGGCTTTTCATTCTGTGGAATGAATATGTGATTGTTATAATTGTACTCTCCATTTTGCTTCGTTCTACTACAAAGTTTCAAGGAATTTTTTATAGTCATAATTACTTTTAATATTTTATAATTATAAGAGAATTTCAATATAATATTCTGAACATCTGCAGTTTTAGTTAGACGTTGAGTATTTTCAAGTGAATTTTATGCTAAATTTAAGCTTTCCAACGCCTCTTTTTTAATAAATGTTTTCTCCTACAACATCGGAGTGCAGCGCCACATGAAATACGCACTACAATGACAATAGTTTAAAGTGATTTGAAGCATAGGAATAGGTTTTACCCTTTTAACTGGCACAAAAACTGATACCTTTATTCAAGGCATCATGTTTGCAATAACCACAACACAAGCAGTCAAAATGCAAACAAAAAAGACAACTCTGATAAAACTCTGATAATAATATTATTATCAGAGTTGTTTTTTTTGTTTGCATTTTGACTGCTATTGCAAACATGATGCCTTGAATAAAGGTGTCAGTTTTTGTGCCAGTTAAAAGGATAAAACCTATTCCTATATCTTGTTTCTGGCAAAGGAGGTCTCATAATGATTTGAAGCATGTTTTATTTAATTGGGGGGGGGCAGAGCTTTGTGACGTCATATTTGAGGGGGGTCTGACTTTTTGTGACGCCGTGTGACGAGGGGGGAGAGGGGGGTCAAAAATCGGCCAAAATCGCGTGACGTCACTTATGGACGGCCCCAAAGACACCACAGTTGATTGTCAGGTCATGTGTGTTGGGATAAAGTGCGGGTACTGTCACCTCTTACAGGACATCTGCCAGCATGGTAGAGCAGGCCCTTCTGACAGCAGTGATCAAACGTAAATTGCAGGCCTGCACCTTAACCTTTCAAATGTTTAACACGCATGCAAGCACACATCTGCCATACACTACTGTGACTGTTTTGAAAAAAATAGTGGAAGCAACAGTGCATTGCATTACAATCTTTCCCGTCTCATTATACATTCTTATCATTTTGGCCTTCCAAGCCCTTAAGGCACTGTCACTGAAACCTAAGGATCTCCTGACCTGAGCCCCAGTGGCACGTGCGAACAGCCGCACCTGTTATAAACGACTTGACGCAGGTAGCAGATGGCGGGATGAAACGTGTTTGGAGCAATATCAACAACTGGGCAGTCTCTGCTATGCATGATCAGCTTGGCCAGTCAACTTGCCAGCTCCTAAACCTCGCTGTTTACCTTGCCATAACAACAGGTGTAGCCCACATTGCATTCTTATGCAATCACTTTCCGCTTCATCCCCTGCAAGGACCAAATCAAACATGTCATAAATTACGCGACACGGATAACAACAACAAAAAAAAGCCGCCTTAAATAACGTGTGCGCGTGTTATGTACGCGTACCGTATGCGCACTTGACTATAAAAACTAGGGTGTTTAAGCAGGTGTCTGTAAACCAGCAAAATCTTTACATGTATGGATTGTTTTTCTAGTGCTGGACCTTAGTCATATCTTTTATTTTGCCAAATTTAGTCAAATATGCAATGAAAACTATTTTCAAACTCGGGTACAATTTCAGGATAAACCCAAAAAATATTCTATATAGTATTATCATTACGGTATATTCTAGTTGTATTAGTTGAAATGTACTTTGTCATACGAACCTTACTGATATTGTGAAATGTAAAACATTTCAATGTCATATGTTAAAAATAAGTAAGTTCAAACATTGCAAAAGTAATTGATAATCACATTTATTTTGTTCTAGTTTGTTATGTGAAAGTTAGTAAAGTCCTTTATGTTATTATGCTAGTCTTATTGAATTTCATTGAAAACATTTTGTTTGACATTTGCGTGGTAAAATGGGATCATAGTTACATTAAAATGCAGTGTTCCTTTTCAGTGTTTCGTCATTGTCAACATGAAGCGATTAAACATGTTATGTAGTCTACGTTTCTTCTTCAAATGCCTTTTAAACGGGATCCCGTTCATAACATTTAATGTCAAGGCAGTCAACAATGAACAAAAATATTTTTGTTGGAGTGGTTTGGTTTGATTCTCGAGCAGATATTTAAAATTGTATTGACCTGACACGAGGCATTCCTATCCTAACCTTATCCAAGAGCAAAAACCCCAAACCATTCTTCACCCCATAGCAACAGAATCCTCACAATATGAAGGTAACATTTTTGTTATTTTCAGCATGCCATCCCAATCTCACAATCTCATCAACGTAGTGTGTTTAGTTAACATCGATTTTAACAAAGTGATCTGTTCTCAAGAAATGAGTGAGCTGACAGCCTTCTCTGCCTGCATAATCCAGTACGTTGCTGTGTCCTTAAATCTGTCAGTGGTTGTTGCACTGCCTCCTGGCAACGGGAAAACAGAGCGCGGGCACACGGATGCACCTGACTGAGTGTGACAGCGTTCGCGGACTGACAATTTACAATGGGGAATTGCAGCAGAACCGTAACCATTGCTGTTATTACTGTAATCGAGGCCATGGTGATTGCCATCATTATCATCGTAATCATCGTGATTTTGATCATTTCTTGTCAACTTAATTGGCAGTGTTCTTGTAGGAGGATACTTTTAACATGGGGCATCGAAGGTCAGTTTTTAACTTACAGTCATTACTACGACTACAACTAAAGTTGTCCTCATTATGATCATTGCACATGTTCACATTAATTTCATATTGTCACCATATTAAGCATCATGAAATGTAGATTTTCGTCCTACAGGAATGTATTTCTTCTGGAAGTCTTAGTGCTTTTAAATGGAGCGCAAGATCACACAAATTAACAAAGCAAAAAAATACTCTCCACTCAACTCAAATATACCAAGAAGTAGACCTTCTGAGCTTCGATCACAGAGCACGCAAAGCAGTATATACAAAAGCACACCTTCCTGTGCCGCTGAGTACAATAGTTTAAAATGCAAAGTTAAAATACTGTAATCATCATTATTAGCCATGATCAATCCCCTGCTGGATGAAGGCCTCCTTGAGGCATTTCAATTGTTCACATCATGGTCCTGCGTTGCAGCAGTCCATTTAGCAAATACCCACAAGCTGATTTCATCACTCCATCTTCAAATACTGCACTGTTATTCATCTATTTGCAAATGGTCTGAACTCTTCCATTAATATATATTTCAAATACCGTAATATAAAATACTGTACTCTGTCAATCACAGTACTGTTACCCAATCTATCCAGGTATATATGTGCACATATGCAATCAAAAATGTGTATTTTGGTGCTCCCAAAATATGATTTTTACATTCGTTGGCAGGAATTGGATGTGGACAT